TATATACAGAGTGTTTCAAAAAGGTATGTCATAAATTAAATCACGCATTCCGGGGACAAAAATAAATTGATTGAATCCAACTTACCTTAGTACAAAACTGTATACAAAAAAAATTACAGTCCTTTGAAGTTACAAAATAAAAATTGTTTTTTTTGCATTATCTCCTAAACTACTTGACATTTTGTAATAAAAATGGACACGTTACTTTTGTCATCGAGTGCCATAGTCGCAAGACTAGTACGCACTTCGATGCGCATCGCCCCGGCTCGAATTTTCCTATTGGTCCCTGACCTGGAAATCAGGGCTCTCCGAGAGCTTGGTGCTCTCGGGGCTCTACCTTTCGGGGCTTTTAGCTTTCCCATACTCTGTGGCTGAGTATTATTCGACTGAATATTTGGTGTTTTTATTTCGACAACCTTAGTATTGTCATGTAAGAAATATCTTGCCTTTGTCAAGGCAAGTCACTGAAGACGACGACCTGATGTTTATTTCGACAAAGAATTATTATTATTATACATAAACGAGGGCAGAGGAACTGTCCTATTTAGGGCAGAGAAAGTCCCTATTATGCTCAAAAAACCAAGAAATTTCAGTAATAACCTACTAGTAAATAACAAAATTACAAATATTTTAACTATAATATAAAACGGTCAAGTCTGTTTTTGAACGAGTTGTTAGAGGAAGCGGAGACAATGTTATCGTTAAGGTTATTCCAGCACTCAAAAACTCTATTTGAAAGAAAGTTCTGTCTTGATCTTAAAAAAATTTCTTTCTTTAGTTTACACTGATGACCTCTGAGGCGTTCATCTTGATTTATGATAAATATTTCATCGAGGTTTCCAAAATTGAATTTTAGTATTTTAAAACGTTGTAATTAAGTGTCCACGTTGTCGGCGAAGTTCAAAAGTAGTTAGGTTAGCCATACTAAGTCTTTCTGCATAAGAAGGTCTTCTCTGTCCCAAAGAAATTCAAGTGGCTTTTCTTTAAACGATTTCCAACAAAGTCTTGTCTCGAATCAGATCAGGATACCACGTTGGTCCAGCGTATTCAAGTATGGGTCTTACGTACAGAGTATAAAGTGTACATAATGATTGCATTGAAACTCTCGAAAAACACCTCCGAATAAGATACAGTCTGGAGTTTACAAGTTTACAAATAGAGGTAATATAGTCGGACCAAGTTAGGCTGCTGTTTAGGATAACACATGCTTTTTGGCTGATGTTTAAGGGTAGTAACCACTGGGAATACCAAGTTAAAATAGAATCCAAGTCCATTTGGAGGGTTATCTTGTTTGTGTTTGGATTGGCATATATTTTTGTGTCATCAGCGTAGAACGATACTTTACTTGAGACATAATAAGGAATATCGCTGGTGTAAACCGTAAAAAGCAGAGGTCCAAGGACAGAACCCTGAGGCACTCCACTTTCCACTAACCCGTCCTGTGAGAAAGATTCGCCAACTCTTACTTTGTAATATCGATCTGTCAGGAAATCATCTATCCAACGAAGTAAAGTACCGCGAACTCCGAAATATTCGAGCATATGTACAAGTCTGCGCTTAGGTACACGGTCGAAGGCTTTAGAAAAATCTAGATAAACAACGTCGACCGGCTGCGAACTGTTAAGGGATGACGTCCAATCGTTAACACAATGTAGGGAATTGGTTAGAGTAGAGCGACCAGAGACAAATCCATGTTGTTGTGTTGGAAAAACATGTTCCTGGAGAAGAAATTTGGTCATCTTCTCGGAAATAATGGCTTCCATAACTTTGGCAACTACTGGCAGCAAGCTAATCGGACGATAATTATTGGGGTCGAGTTTGTTGCCTTTTTTTTAAAATAGAGGTAACGGAAGCTAATTTCCTACTAGGGGGTAAGGAGTTCTGGATGAAAGAAGTTTGTATAAATAACGTTAAGGGTATTGCAAGCGTGTCTGCGTACCTTTTTAACAGTTTTGGTGTTAAACCATCTAAACCAGGTGAAGCGGCCGTACGAAGTTTCATTAAGTGTTGTTTGACATGATCCAGTGTGAATTCAACTTGCTGTAAGGATGCGCCGACACGATTACAGTTAATAGCAGGTAGATAACCATCATTTGATTCTTTAGTAAAAACCTGTGAAAATGCTAAAGAGAGAGTGTCGGAAGATTCTTTGTCAGAAGAGCATAAACTGTGGTTGGGTTTTTGGAGTAGTGGAATGGAAACTTTAGATGTCATGGAGGAACGTATGTATTTGTAGACTTTTTTAATGTTACCACTTTCAATAACATTTTTTTCAAAATTTTGTCTTAGGGTTTTTATAGACATTTTTAAGTTATTTAAAAATCTGCGGTGGCTTTGAAAATCACTAAGAAGCCCGGTGTGTTTAAATTTTTGCCATAGATGTCGTTTGTGATTCATTTGTTTAATTGCTGTTTGATTTATCCAGGGTTTAAGGTTGTTTTTATAACTCTTACGGAAAATGGTATTTGTAAAAATTATATTGTGGACTTTATCGAGAAATGCAGTCCACATTAATGAGGGGTCGTTTAAGTCTGCAAAAAATAAATGCCAGTCGATTTAAGAGTATTCAGTGTCAACTTCAGAAAAGTCGGTAGTAGCATATGTTACAATATTATTTTTGTGGGGTAATATTTGATTTAACTGGATGTGAGCCGTTATAACTGCATGATCTGACTTTTCTATAGGAGAACTGACTTCGACAGATGAAATCAGCTGTTCGTCATTAATAAGCACTAGATCTAAAATAAAAGGTTGGTTATTATTCCTAAATCTAGTAGGTTCTGTAATTAGTTGTATCAGATTTGAATTTACTACAAAGCTTTTAAATAAATTATGAGCGTTTTCGGCGTCAAATAATGAAGTTATTGGCCAGGTGATTTCTTTGAAATTAAAATCTCCAGTAATGATAAGATTATCAAGAGATGATAGTTCTTCAAGTTTTGTGAGGAAAACATTATCGTGTAAACGATATCGTGTATCGTGTATACTAAATTAAGGCAAAAAGAATTTTTAGTAACAGATAAGTGAATTGCATCTATTCCAGTAATATCTTTTAGTTTAATGTTAATTTTGAAAGTTGTGGTAATAATATTAGATAAATAAATGCATACACCGCCACCCATATGATTTTCTCTGTCTTTCCGATATATTGTATATCCATTTATATTAACAGAGGAGTCAGGAATTTAAGGTTTAAGCCAGGATTCGACAATACAATAATGTCCGGTTTAAGAAGTTGCACTGTGCATACAAATTCGTCAAACTTAGCGTAAAGTGAACTTAAATTAGTATATAGAAATAGCCAGTCATTAAATTTGTCGGTAGAATAATTATAAACGAAATTTCGTGATTCTGGGAGTGCCATTGATGTGCCATAGTTAAATCATGTTTACTGTTATTTTTGCGAGTATATAGCTCACTTCTGAGTTCCTTTAAACATACTTGTTGGATGGGCGTCTTGTCGTCAATTATTGAGAATTTTTCCATGGCTTTGTTTTCCAGAAGTTTGGCTTTATTTCTGAGAATATCTTTAACGTGGTATTCCCATTACTACCTTTATCATTCGGGGAAAATGGTTGGTTTGCTTTGCCGACTCTGTAAAAGGTGATTTACTTTTCCTGACAGCCAACAGTATTAAAACAAGCTTAACCTTATTCGCGTCATCATCTTTTCTGCATTGTACATCCTCAGAGGAAGATTCTGTTACGCCTCTAATTATAATATTTTTAGCACGTGTTATGAGATCTACAGCTTCGTTAGCGATATTATCTGTGAATTCGGTAGACTTAAATAAATCAATCTGGCTGAGCTTATCGTTTAACTCAGTTATTTTATTATCAAAATCATCAATTTTCGTACGAATTTCCATTTTAAAATCTTGCAGGAGATCTTTTATTTTTAAAAAATTAGAAATATTGGAGCTGCAAGAGTTACAAAAGTATGCTCAGTCCTCGAATTTTCTGTCGGGTGACGCGATCCTCCGAAAAAAGGTCGGTGCATGTGATATGTATTTGTCGCTTACATCCATCGCACTGGAGTTTGCGGTCAGCTTTCGCTATGGTTTTCGAGCAGTTCGAACAAAATGAGGTGGACGGCATTGTCCGTTTTTTCGTGTATGTATTTAGTATTTAAAATAAATGACGGTTGCGTTTCGATTTAATTTGAGTCTCTTACCACTCCCTGACACGTGTTTCTGGGTCTACCCGTCATTAGAAGGAGTTTGTAAGAAGACTCAAACCAAATCCAAACGCACCGACTACTAAGGCAATTATAGTAAAAATAATTACCAGAGTATGCTACTAGAGGCCTCTAGTGAGGAAACAAGAAGTTAAATATCGATAGCAATTAAAGTAAACTGTATAACCCAAGCTTAATCAAGCCATTCAGAGCGATGCTGAGAATATTAAAATTCCACTATGCATCAACAATTTACCCATATAAATTACTATTATTTTTGTACTCATTGCGTCGAGTAAGGACAATAACAAAATAAATGACGGTTGTGTTTCGATTTAATTTGAGTCTCTTACCACTCCCTGACACGTGTTTCTGGGTCTGCCCGTCATCAGAAGGAGTTTGTAAGAAGACTCAAACCAAATCCAAACGCACCGACTACTAAAGCAATTATAGTAAAAATAATTACCAGAGTATGCTACTAGAGGCCTCTAGTGAGGAAACATGAACATGACATATTTAGTATTTGGTTTTATATTAATATATTGTAGAATAGTACTCACAGTAATAATAATTCGCTGTAACTGCACTTTTTTGACAAAATTTTTACAAAAACTACTGATTATTGGTATATAGAACAATCATGCAAAATTTCTTTGCGAAATAATTATTTTCTACAGAGTAATCGTAAAAATCAGTACGAGCACAGAACTTTACGTGTGTCGTCAACCAACTAGCAGGTTGTAATGATATTGTCATGTAAGAAATATCTCGTCTTTCTTAAGACGAGCCATCAGGAGAGAACATTTTTCAGTCATACCCTGAAAATGGACTTAAGTAGAGGAGCTATCGACGACGTTTCCGAAGCCCTCTGCAGAGCACACGGAGGCATCAGAAGGTGTATAGACCCCTGTTTGTCCCCCCAGGTGACACTTTCTTGTTCTGAAAGCATTTTTTATAAAAAAGAACAAAATCTAAGCGCACAGAAAAATTTTAAGGGGGGTATGCAGCCCTAAATCCCCCCAAACTTTTGAGTACGTTCAAATCAAATGAATTTTGTGACATCATTAGTTTAACACAATATTTTTAAAACGTTTTTGCCTCCTATCACTTTTTCGAAAAACTAGTTTTTTTCTAGTTGGCCATAAAATTACAATTAGTTTCTACGGATACAATAATTACAAACAGTTCCATCAATAATAGTCAATAATTTGAAGCTATCATTTATTGTGTGAATAAGATTAATATTAAAAATTTTGATATTACTATGGCCTACACATTTCAGGAAATGGCAGATATGCATTTAACTTTGGGTAAGTTGGATCAGAATAAATTATGAATTCAATAAACTCTCGGGAAATAGTGTAGCAGCCGCAAGGCGTTATGCAGTAAAATACCCCCATCGAAATATATCCCGATATACGATTATTTCTGACCATTGATCTTCGTTTACAGGAAACGGGTACATTCCAACTGCAAGTTGCTGGCAATAGTGGTCGTCTAATAATGGATGCAACTGATATAGACATTTTAGAAGTCATTGAAGAAGTCCCTGGAACAAGTACAAGGGTAATAGCTGCTCAACTAAATGTTCCTCACGTATGGGTTTGGAGGCGTTTGAAGGATCAGCTGCTTAAATCCTATCACTTAACAACGGTTCAAGAGTTATTGGTTGAAGATTATCCTAAAAGGATTGGATTTTGCGATTGTAACGTTGTTCTGATCGTTTAACAGTTTGAATCGTGGGAGTGTCAATGTTTGCGCATCCACTTCTTCAACGAGACGGCGAAGTGGGATCCAGAGCGGCTATTTAAGGTGTGTGAGTAGCGGAATTAGACAGTCTTGTAGCTGTAGCTGGCGCTCTAGGCTCCTCGATTTGCCGGTGTACTGAACCTGCGAGCCAACCCGGACAGAGATATTTCCATATTGAGGATCATACTCTATCCTTAACCAAGCAGAACCCATCGGTATTGTGTATTGAACTTTACCGTGGGGCCTGCACAGCCGAATATTTAGTTTGTGAGTGCGTTCGGAGCTCCCGCTGAATTGAAGCGGAAGCGAGTATAAGTCTGCGTGCGATTAACTTCACCTATTTTATTTGTTTTGTTGTTAATAATAACTTTTTCCTTCTTTTATAGATGTTCGCCGGGGAATTCCTTCATCGAGGAATCCAGACGGGGACGAAGGATTCGTTTTATTTTTATTGTATATAAGGCGGAGAATTAATTTTATTTTTATTTTTATTGTACTTACGTTAAATTAGTAGATTTATTTTTATTTCAACCTGTGTTTTACTGAGTTTTACTGTCTTTTACTGAGTTTTATTTCTTCCCAACAATTTAAATGGTGATAATTATTTGAAGTTCTTGGCAAACGATATACAAGAGTATTTGGAAGAAGTGAATATTGCAATAAGGCAAAATGTGTGGTTTCCACAAGATGGCGCTTCGCCGCATTACAGTAATGAAGTCTGGGAATACCTTTGCAGGCAGTATCCTGGCCGGTGGATTGGAAGGGGTCGTGACATACCTATTTCTTGGCCACCTAGAAGTCCAGGTCTTAACCTCATGGACTTTTGCTTTTGGAGGTTTATGAAAGAGAAAGTGTATTTTGTAACAATAGAGGACGAACAACAATTGAGGGTTAGAATAATTGAAGTTGCAAATCCATTTTGTCAGAAAAATATGATTTTTCAGCGCATTTGGTTTTCCTAATTAAAACGATACCGAATGTGTATTGAAGAATATGGGGACCATTTAAAAAATTTATTGTAATATCATATTTATAGAGGTTATATTCTCCTTTTCAGAGCCTTCTTTCAGTGCGTCACAGTTTTTCGATTTCTTTCTAACACATTAAGTTGGATGTGATGAAAAAAGCGGCAGTTCCGTGATTAAAACACGAAAATATTACAGCGTTGCATACATAACCAGTCTATTCTTAACCTACGTTTAATTCGTTGATATTTGAAATGCGCGCTATCTCTAGCCAATCAGTTACGCGAGTCACGAACATTGTATATAAAACTTCATTCATTTGGCCATCCTTTCGAAGTGTGGAAGAGTGAAGTGATCTTGTCGATTTGACAGGTCAGTCTTTAGGTCAGTATTTGACATTAGTTTATAGCGTTGTTATGCATTATTTGTGTTTATATTTTTATTTTGTTTTGGTTTTCATTAAAATATTTTTAAAATGCCAAGATTTACGAAAAAGGAACAAGTTCTGATACTTAAAGTACTTAAATATTTTGAATTAGAAAAAGAAGCTGGGCAAACTTTATTACCAATTTCTGCTGTTCGTGAAGTAAGTTTAAAGATACACTGAAAATAAAATTGTTTTATTTTTACCTACTATTTATTTCAGCGTGTTGCTAAGGCGTTAGGAATTTCTTTGCCAACAGTAAGACGATTGGCAAATGAAGGTGTCCAAAAAGATTCTGATTATTCAATCACAATGAGCCAATCAGTAGCCACTAGTCGTAAACCGACATTATTAATAAATAAATAGGAACATGCCATCAGGATGTGTGTATATAGAATGGATAGAAAAGGTAAGAACATTACAACAGTTTATAGACATTTCTTTTAATAAATTGTTACTGACAACTAGTTTACATTATATAAAATATATAGAAATGAAAAGTGATTATAAAAAGAATACTTTTGAATTAAATACCAAGTATTGTAATAAAGATTTAAGAGTCGTTTTTGTATTTTTGCTGAAGTTTATGCATTTACCTTGTGCAGTTTGGTAAACTATATAGATATATTTTTATAACTTATACTTTGGATTATTCTAATATTTTTATTACGATTTATGAAAGGAGTACTTTTACATATAGAATTTAAATAGACAAATTCCTAATATCAAAACTAACGTGTTACTTTACATTCTTAATATTTTTCCTAGAAGAATCACTATAGTGTCTTTAAACTTTGATCGTTTTAGATGAGCATGTGACTCTCTATACCCTAAAGCAAAAACTAGAGGAAGTGGATGGGATTAACATTTGTATTGCTGCACTTTTATCGCGGAGTTTTAAAGGAATTAAAATTTAGATGGGTAAATTGTAGTGTTGCTAACAGAAAATATTTAATGGAACAACCACATGTGACTTTAAAAAGACTTCAGTTCTTAAAAGCCTATAAGGACAATGAAAGCAATGTATACCCTTTAAAACCAGTTTTCTTGGATGAGACCTGGATATTCAGCAAAGGAGGATTCCGCAAGAGCTAGCAAGATGGCAGTGTTAATTAGGCATCAGTGAATAAATTGTTTTTATGATTTGAATTATATCCTATTTTTGTAATTAATTTATAAATTACCTAATAAACATCTTTGAAAACAGTATTTTTTTATTTATAAATTTAATAAACAATATTGTTTACTATTATTTAATCCACCTTGCAATAAAAGTAAGTACGGTTCTGGCATGTGTCAGAATTCTCAATAATTACATGAAATAATACTCGACACATCTCTTAATCTATGACATCACAATTTATGACGCACTGAAAAAAGGCTCTGAGAAGGACTATAGACATTTTTTGTACTCGTTAATTCATTTAAGTCATTTATTTAGTTGCACGTAATTTTTTAGATTAATGAAAAGGGCCGTAACTCAATAAAAACTGTTTTTTTGAAAAAAGTAATACGGAGCAAAAATTTTTAAAAATAATGTGTTAAACTAATGATGCCACAAAATTCATTTGATCTGAACGTACTGAAAACTTTGGGGGGATTTAGGGCTGCACACACCCCTTAACATTTTTCTGTGCACTTAGATTTTATTGTTTCTTTTTTATGAAAAATGTATACAGAACAAGACCGTAATGTGTCCATTTTTATTACAAAATATCAAGTAGTTTAGGAGATAATGCAAAAAAACAATTTTTATTTTGTAACTTTAAAGAGTTGTAACTTTTTTTGTGTACACTTTTGTACTAAGGTAAGTTGGATTCAATCAATTCATTTTTATCCTCAGAATTCGTGATTTAATTTATGACATACCTTTTTGGAATACCCTATATACCTTTATTTAATAAATCTTACTGTAGTTCTATACCATTAAAAAATTTTCAAAACATAATGACGGGTAATTTTCTTACAAGAAAACGGGAAAGATATTTCACGACACGGGATCCAAGAATAAGTTTTATCTTTATCGTCAACCTTTCTAGTATAGATTTGAAACTGTTACACATATCCTGACTGGTCTGCTCGTTTCCAAATTTTTTTATCCGGGTTTCATTCACTTTTGTGGCATCTATTAACGAAATTCTATTCGTCCTTTTAATGTTACCATTGATTCGGATCTCTAATTTCAAATTTTGCAGACCAATAGTCTTTGTAAGAACATTTACGTGTTAGCCTTATCATAAGATTAACTCCAAAGAAACATTTCAATTCTTTATATGTTTTTGGAATATAACGATCCCCACATTGTTGTGTACCACAACAATTGGTTTCAAAAACTATTTTCTCAAACAAATTCGTTGGCAACAAGCACAAAAACATTTATAGCGGTGTACCAACATCATCGCAAACATTTGTAGCACTGTGTTATGTAAATTTTTTGAATTTTAGACAGTTATTGACGTATAGACAGCGGCGCCTGGTCTTCCAAATCTGAGTCATCGCTCTCCAACTGAACATCACCTACAACATGATCACTTTGTTTGTATTCTAAAAAAATTAATTCTATGTCGTCGTCGAGTTCTTCTTCAGATGGTGCATCTGAAGTATATCATTCACTGTCAGATGGCAGATCATTTAATAAAGTATAACTGTCATCAGAAGATAGTTTAGTGACGTCAAAATGCTGCTTTTCTAAAACCAAAGAAAATAATAATAAATAATAAGGTTATGTCCTAGTGGCCCCGTATGGAACCACAAGAAGTATCTAATATTTCGAAATGTATAAAATGTTTTTAAAATTTTTATCACTGTGCCTATTTTATATTTATTATTACAAAAGAAAATATAAAAAAACTTACCGGCCATTTAAAAACTTTGAGAAAAACACCTACCTATAAGTCGAATAAACAAACAGTAACGATTTTCGTATACAACTAAACATTTATGAACAGCTTACTAGACACGCTTACAATATTATGCTAGATTCTATAGCAAACGGAGAGGGGATACCGAAATAATGATAATTATTATAAACGATGGTATAAACGATGAGGTTCCAGCTAGTGCTTACTAGGCCAGGACACAGTATATTGCTTAAAAAGAATCAGTCAGTAGGTTCACTCTCGCATTTTCACGGTTCTAATTTTGAATCCACTCCTAGGTTCGTGCGCAATGGATTTGGCGAAAAATGCCGCTGTTGCAAGATTTAAAATATTCCATCAGTTTCAAAGAATATTCCAAATTCTCAAACACAAATTATTATTTCGTAATAGTAACTTTATATTGTAAAGATTCATATACATATTATAGAAAAAAAAAAAAATTGTAACACTGTACGCGATGCCTTAAGGAAAATATATTTGGTTATGTTGAGTGCTCTAAACTAATCATTCCCCCAAAGTTCATTAAGTCAAAGTGAAATAGATTTATACTAAGTAGTACTTGTAGAACGCCAGTACAGATAAGCTTGATATCATAAAGAATTTCTACGTCCTTCGAAATCAATATATGGAAAGTATCAACACATCGCACCCCTGCGAGAAAAGTGACACAAACCAAAAATACTGAAGTTGAGATAAATCAACTTAAAGATT